CTAATAATAATTAATAGCATCTTTTATAGTATAATTTGTACTATTTATTTAATAACTAAGTAAACAATTGAAATAAATGTAAGCTTAGCAGATATAGTGATATTTTTTTTCAAAAAAAAGTCATTTTTGCTTTTTTTCAATCTTTTTTCTATTATGATATACAGTATATAATCTAGAATAAATAACTAAAAATTTTTCACAGAATAAAATTATATAACTTAGTCAATTTATGGTCAATTTGATAATGTAAAATAAAATATTATTGTTAGGTTAGTGAGTATAACTTTCTTTATTTATACTACTAAGAATAGATTATTTTTTTATTTTTTCCTATTGCTATCTTTCCTTTCTCCCAAATTTTTTAAGAAAAATTCAATTAGAAAATATGATAAAAAAATTTTTCTGAAGTTATTAACTAGTCTTCTAACAGTCATGACATAAATCCAATAATTTCTGGAGCATTGTTAAAGAAATGTAGAGAAAAAAATGCAAATATATGTGATTTGTGTTGAATTATGATCAAATAATGGGATGGTATTCCTGAATTGATTATTAGATTAGTAAGATCAATGAAATGCTGTTTTAAGCTTATTATAGAAGGAAAAATGTTGTTATTGTCCGGGAGCGTAGCGAAGGACTTTCTATTGTAGAGCACTTAACGATTTTGTGATAACCCATGAAATTTTCCTTCCATCCGCTGACGCCTCCATAATTACCCCCTGCTTATTCCTTTTTTATGTGTCACCTTTTACTTGTAACACTGATAATCTATATTTTTTTTTGTACCACTGATAATATTTTGTGAGATAAAAAAAAAAATTAATTAAAATTTATTTAAAAAAAAAAGAATTTAAAAACAAAACTGTTGATTTTTTAACGGTTTTTGTTTTCCTAGTTATTGGAAAAAAGATATAATAATTTCATCACTTTTTGACAGGAGATTTTTTATTGTCACTATTTTTTTTTTTTTAGAAAAAAAAAATATAAAATAACCTATTCGCAAAAAAATTGATTTCCGGACATAAAGCATATGCGTATGCATATACATATTTTCTAGGTGTATGCAATATGTATAAAAACGCCGAAAAATTTAAACCATAAATAGAAATCACGCTAAACCAAAAATTGAATTTATTGGTATGATCGACTTCAAGTAATAGGGGAGATTGGCAATTGAAATCGATTTACTATGTTCGTAACTCGAGACTTTGATGATCTTTATTTTTTTTTCATTATGTTAGATTTAAAAATCTAGCCAAAAATAAATAGAGTTTATTTCTAAAAATAAGATGAATGAAATTTATTTTGTAATAAAGAAATTTCCGGGCCGGGTAGTTACTTTTTAAATTATTTTAAAATAGACAAGAAATCCGTGTAACCGTCAAAAAACTGGAATATATACACTCAGAACTCGGTATAACGACTCTCCCCGGTTTATTTATGAATTATCAAAATTTATAAATTTGATCTGTATTCTTTCTATATACAGTATAAATTATGTTAAATTGGTCTTATGCGACATAACACATCATGTCTATCAATAGTAAATTTAGTGAAGACGAAAATTCACCTTCCAAGGATTGGGGTCAACTTGTAATTTCACCGAATATGGAATGTATCGTTACTCTTAATGAAGATAATTCTTTAACGGTATGGAATGTTTATATTGAAGATGGAATATTTGAAGTAAGTAAACAAGACAATAATGACAATAGAAACATTTCACTGCGTGGATTATCAAACGACAAGTTGTTGATTTTTAAGGAGTATATCTGCAATGCCTATGCTACTTATCGTATCCGCAATATGGAGACATTGGAAGATATTAGAATAATTAATGATCGAGGATACACAACTTTGCATCATCTTCCAGATGGAGAATTTTTGTCATTACAATCACGATATTTACATATCTATTCACGAGAATCTTTAAAAAAATCAAAAAAATCACCGTGCTCTTATAAGTCAAAATTCTATCTCTGGGGTATAGATTTTGTCGATTTCGTGGATATTGTCCAAATAAATGGACTAACTTTTTTAAGTATAAATGACACAAGGGTCATACTACAATTAAACATCGAAACAAAGATCATCGAAAATTATTATTACATTCCAGAAAAAGTTGAAGATTGGGATCGTAGATTGAAGTGCGTGGTAAATCGTGAAGAAAATTTATTAGCGATGAACTTTAAATCAAAGAAAGGCCGTTTTTTATGCGTATATTCGATGAAGAATGGACTTCAAATTTCAATAAGTGAGTTTGAAATCATGTTCATTTATTTTTTTTTTTTTTTTGCCAATGATTAGTACTGACCGACCGATTCTCACGTAGGAAAAGTCGAGAATAAGCGTGATGACGTGACGATACAATTTATAAACGTCCACGGAACTGAAATGTTGATATTATATTCACTAGTTGATGGCCAAAGCAAAATTTATTTTGAGCTGATGTGTCCTTATGATCCTGAATGCATTATTAAGGATGAATATGATATACCCGACGTTGACGTTCGAAAATGCATGATCGTGGAGGCATCAACACCCATATCACAATATAAAATTCTCTTTACCACCGAGAATCAAATCATGATGATAAACTTTATCATATCTGAGGACATCATTAAAAACTATCCTGATCCGATGATGCATCCTCACAACTTGGTCATGTATTATAGTTTCAATGACATCAAGAATTCCTCCTATAGTTCATATGATTTTGATTATACTTGTAAAGGAAAAAAGTTGGAGTGGAGATATAATGAGGGTATATTGTTCGTTTATAAAATTGATGAAACATTATATGGGAAGAAAAATGTTGAAGAGTTATATGAGAAGAAATTAAGATTTAATTTTAAGAAACTAAAAATCTTGAGTAATGATGATGTGGTAATTTATAGTGATGACTTAAAAAATGGTACAATTTTTATCTTCGGCTATAATGAATCGAAAAATAAGATCGAGCTTCGATATTTTTATCATGGTATTGAAGAATTTCGCAATTGTACAAGTCTTCCAAACCCAAGCGTAGATTTATTCTTTCGAATTAATTCAAGATCTGACAGGATTTACATGTTTGATGAGCTTCTAGGTTCAAGAAAGTATCTCATAGAAATGATTGATGACTTCATTAATTATGCTATAGTGTGGAAAGAAAGTAAAACCTTAGGCACCATCTTTAACAGGCTATATGAATTTTTTAATGAGGATACAATGGAAAATTATAGAATCTGTTGCATTATCACAAAGTATCTAACAAGGTTGCAACTGAAATTTCCTACTCATTACTCAAAGTTCATTTCCATTACCTCATTCATTCCAAATCCACACATCGAAAAATCTTATCTATCAATTAAAGAGAAGAAGGTTGGTTATATTGACCAGATTAATTCTATTCAAATATATAAATATAAATCCTTGCAAAGATTTAGGAATTGGTTTCACCGGATTTATCTTAATAATCATGTTTCAATGGGACAACATTCAAGGGTTATTAGCTTTGTTATCCCTTACCCGGGTTTTACAAAGTATGATCCTAAATATAATTTCTGGTCTGACTTCATAAAACCAAAAGAAAACCAATTCACAATTTTGGATGATCAAGCATTTTATGAAAGTTGGAACGCTGAGGCATTACTTAATTTTAAATGGCACAATTTTGGCAGATTTTACTATTGCATTTTTTGGGGATTATTTAACATATTCCTGCTTAATTTTGGAATTGCTTCAACTTTGCCTTCATCTGTTATATCAAAAAATGGGATCATTTTTTTTTTAAGCATGAGCGTTATATTTGGTTTGTTTCATCTTATTCACGAACTTAGACAAATTATTTGGAATTGGAAAATTTATATTGTTGATCCATGGAATTGGTTCGGTAAGAATTGATTTTTTTTTTTTGAAAAAAAAAAAATTGACAAATTTTCATGTAAATCCTTTTTTTTTTTCGTTTTAGATCTTTCCGCATATTTTTTCCCGGTATTCACTAGTATTTACTGGTTATTCTACGAAAAACCTCCATTACCACTGATATCTATATCAAATCTATTCTTACATTTTAAATTTATGACATATTTGCGAGCTTTTTGTTATTTTGGTCCTTACTTTACTATTATCATTGGCGTGGCTAGGAGAATCATTTACTTTTTATTCGTCTTATTTCTTATAATAATCAGCTTCGCACATGCTTTCTACATCATTCTGTCACCAAATGAAAATTATGATTTAGAGCAACCTGTTAATAATAACGATCCAAATAATCCCTGGAATCTAGTCAATAAATATCAATCGGTTACCCCTGAAGGAAAAATCAATTCCGAAATCGTATTTGTTCAACAACCCGATTCCAATGTAAATCAATTTTCCACTTATCAATCCTCGTTATTCGCCATGTACTTGTTTTTAACAGGAGATTCTTCAGCATTTAGCTCATGGTCAGTTCAGGAAAATCCATTCATGGCAATACTGTTAACCATGTTTTCATTCATGATCGTGGTTTATCTCATGAATTTGTTCATTGGATTGCTCAATTTGGAAATTGAAGAAAGTAGGGCTAGTTCCCTTGTTTTACTTCAAAAAGCAAGGATCTTGGCCGAAATTGAGCTATTTCTTTTACTTCCACATCAACGAAGGTGGCATCATTGGTTTCCGGATACGATGTAAGTTATTAATTTCATGACATGATTCACTTGCATTTTAAGGCTTAAATTTGTAAACTTTTTTTTTTTTACTTTATTGTTATAAATAGATATTATGAGATGCCAATTGAAGAGGTCAGACAAATGATTATCAAAATAATCGAAAGTCCTCCATCAGATGATAAACCATTCATTTCTAATAAATTGAGAAAGTTGGTCGATTTGAAAGAACGTGAAGAAACAATAGATTATAAAAAATTAATAATTGATATGAAAGATGATTTTACAAAACAAATGGAAAGTCGCCTTGATGAAATAAGAATCCTTTTGAATAAGAATTATGAATCTGAAAACGAAAAGTCGAAAAAAACGATTAGTGAGATAACAATTGAAGTTAACGATGAATCAAACTAATATAATTTAGGGTTTTGGAACTGGGTCGGGTGGGTAATTCTAGGTGGGTAATCCGTCAGTTAAGTCCGTTATCAATTCATTAATTTAAAGTTTGGATTGATTATTTTACAGCATTGAAATCTGTAGGATCAATAAAAATAAAATATGATTTATTTACAATAGTAGATTTGGTATTTGGAAAAATGATCAAGTTATTTTACAAAAAAAAACCCGCTGCACTTGTCAAATATAATGCGAGTTACTGTAGCAAAAGAATGGTATATATTATGTACTAGTTATTTAATAAATTAATTATATTATCAAAATATGTCTCATCGTTGTTGCTCTGTACTTTCGAAATCCGTTTATTAAAATAAATCGTTACAAAATTTCTTAAACTAAGAACTATCTAAACCTAATAATCGTAAAATCACGTTCACATATCACTGATTTATCATAAATAAATCCTCTAAATCAATTTTTTGTTTAAAGTCAAATCGAATCTAAAGTAGGATTTGATGGATGTCCCAAATACTTAGACTATAGTTAAAATTATTAAGATTTATGATAAAAGTCGATTTTTGGAAGGGAAACGATTTATGATATGTGATATACAGCTTAAATCAATAGATTGTTACAAAAAATTAGAATGGATACGATATTTATTTTGTATTGTAAATAAAAACAGATCGATCAGTTATTATTACGTTGAGGTTGCGCTTAAGAGACTTGAAATTTCTTATAATAGTGTAACCGAAGCAAAGTCGAATATTAGGATTATTTAAAGATCGAAATATTTGTTATACATAGCCAAAATTTGAACATTTAAATCATTCTCTCTAATCTATATTAGAAATATTAGAATATATGATGATGCTAAATATGTAGAACTTGATTAAATTTAAAATGAAAAAAGAGATTATCAACATTTAACAAAATCGTGTTGGATATTCATAAGTTATGATTCATTCACAAAGAATTCATACCGATGACAATATGATGTGGGACTTTCTCCATCAACTGACAATTTTATTGTAGAGATATTGGACTAGAATCCTCCTTATAAAATGAATCTCTACGTAGGCAATTTGTAATGGGGTAAGGTCATGAGGAACACCAACTTGTTAAATCGATTTGGTTAATAAATGTCTTTGATCACAATGAATTAACAAATATATAATTAAAATTGGGTAAATAACCTAAACTTTGGGAATTACCGAATTTCTTAATGCGGACGAAATTAATCCTATTAATCATCTAACTCAATCAAATTCCGCAAACAATATCAAAATTGAAAGAAAATGCAAAGGTAAATAAATAAAATTGAATGCACACTTGAACATTTGTTTATTAAAATTTTTTTTAAAACTTATCTATTTTTAATTCCAGAATCTAAATTAATTTGACTGTAGATTTCTCCTGAATTACAAAGATAAAAAAATAATTCTTTTTTTGTCAAAAATCAATTAAAACGGGGTAAAATTTTCGGACTTAAAAAAATAATTAAATTACTATATACATTTAATCAGAAAAAAAAAAAAATAACATTGAGATATAATTTTTATTTAATTACGTTTCAGGTTATATTACGTGAATTGTTTGTTTGTTTGTTTGTTTTTTGTAAATCTATGTAACTTGTTTAACTTGCATAACAATTAATTATTTTTCACATTTTTCATTTCCATCTAATCCTTCTAATATTTATATTTTTTTTTTTTTTTTTTTAAAAAAAGAAATTGAATTTCATGCGTTTCCTTGGTTTTGATTTGATGGCCTTGGCGCATTCCATTGAGGCACCAGTACGGATCTTGCACCGTCACATAAACTTTTACCACGCATATTACAACGTTTACAGGTATAAGGTAAACCAAGTAATGCAAATGGTGGTAAGCTTATAACAAGAAAGAATGGTATCATTACAATATTGAATAGCATCCCAATCGGTTTTGTTATTAAAAAGTAACGTAAACAATCCACGGTATATTGATTATAACAATATTTAACACCGAAATGTATATAACCTTGAAACTCGGTTTGTGGAGAAATTTTTGTGATGGGCTGTAATGGTTTCTTACTGGCGATCTCTGAAACGGTGTCATGAAGAAATCGAGAAGGGTTCGTGCAAAATGATATCGTGATTAATTCTACCCTCGCCAAAGATCTACGGAAAGATAAATTAAATAAAAGAAAAAAAGAAAAAAAAAAAAAAAAAAATTTCAAATTGATTTAAATTACCTCCAAGACATGACAGATCCTATACACATAAAATATCCCAAAGGGGGGATTACCAAAGAAATGATACTTATAATAAAAGTACTTAATATCCATGCAAAGCAAAATATAGTCCATAATGGAAACCAGAATAAAAGATAAAATATACTAGACCAGGATTGAGGTTTAGTCACCTCTAACCATAGTTCTATAAACTTTTGATCGTGAGTCGAGTTTAACATGATTTAAAATATTACGATTATTTGCGAAAAAATTGGAAAATTAAGAAAATTATTAAAATAAAAACAAAAAACCCATGCCATGTATTTTTGAATGAAAAAAGGGTTTGTGTAAATAATTATCTTTGTAAGGGAAGTTGTGTTCCTGCATCCCCTTATTATATGTTGATAGTGGATGATTGACATTGAACGTTACCGTTTTAGTCGTGGCAATCCAAGAATAGCAGTGGCTTGGAAGGTTCTCATTGGTTAAATGGCTCACATACTAGAATTTCCAAATCGCCGTGGCGCCTGTGCTACAGGAACTGCTGTGTCACTACAATAAATTAATTACGAATGAATGACGTTTAATTTTGTTAAATTAAGTAAATCTTTGCGGAAGCATAAAGTGCAGCGGAACTTGCCAGACTAGAATTTTAACAAAATCCTTTTTTTGAATACTCCTTTATTTACGCATTTTTTTTATCAGAATCAATTTTAGTCGGACTTGCCATTTAGGTATTGAAGCATGTGAATGTAACAATTGTACGCTGCCATTTCTAGAAATAAGAAACCCATCACGTGATATCCTTTAACCGCAGTACCGCAGTATAATTCCCTTTCTTTTGTTACCAACTTCGAAAATTTACGGTGGTGCCTTGAGTTTAACCAAGAAATCGATGATTGGTAAGACTTCGATTGATGTTAGATCTGTTAGATTGGGAGTAGTAATTCGTTAAACAAGAATTAAAAGTGAATTGTAAAGTGATATCCAAACATTTCGTTTGAGGAAAAATATTTTGAAAATTCCTTGTAGATAAACGTATACAAAACCTATCGGTTGATTAGCAAATTAACAAATCTTTTACGGACTGTTTATTTTTTATAATGATTCAACAATTAATTAGAATTCACTTGTAAAATACAAAAAAAAAAAATAATAAAAATTTGTTTATTGTAGAGTTTCTAAATCTTATCTCTAGACTTTATTTATTCTAATACAAACTCGATCCTATGTAAGAAAAAATGAAAGTTGAAGTAGAGAAGATATTTGTTTATTGTAGAGTTCTTTAGACTAGTAAAAAGTAAAACTAAACTCGAACGCTTTTCTTTGTTACACAATTTGAATATAAAACTTTGTTTATTGTAGAGTTTCTAAGTCTTTTCTCGAGACTTATTCTACATTAAAAAAATAACCAATATAAGAAATTTAAATAAAATAAATAAAATAAACTATGAGCATAGAGATTGCCAGACGGTAATCTGGAAGGAGGGGGGAGGGATTTAAGGAGTTGGGTTAAGTGTATAAGAATTATTGGAAGAAAAGGATTTGAACCATCCCCTCTTTTCAAGAATTTATAATAATTCAGAAAATTGATTGTTGACTTCAACAACAAAAAGAAGCGTAATTAAATAATGGACTTTGTAAAAGGTTTTTTGAAAGACAAAGTTCTGAGAGCTTGCGAAAATATATTAATATGGTGTTGTACATTTAATTTAAAATCCCAGTTCTAACAGCGATTTCGCACCTGGGATTTTTCGAATGACAAGAACATAAAGTTCCGAGGTATGTTAATATGGTGTTGTACATTTAATTTAAAATCCCAGATTCTAACTTTAATTATTAGGAGGTTCATTTTTTTTTGAATTTTTAGAGAAATTTTTTTTTTAAAAAAAAAAATTAAAAATGCAAGGAAAAAAAAATTGATGGATTTTAAATATCATCATCATCGCTCGAACAATTAAAAAAAAATTGGTATTGTTCAATTCGCATTTCCCCTTGTTTCACTAAAAAGTAATACAAAAAAATTTTTTTCGTTGTCATACCATTATTTATTGTAGGACGACGTTATCATTTCCTCCATTTATGGTTCTTTTCGGAAAAGTATTAAGAATGGATCCGCCGCTTTTTTAATTCAAGTCTTATCAGTTATTGATGAAGCGCGTCGATCAAAATCACGAGCACGAAAATGTCACTATTACGAAGATCAATAATATCCTAAATATGATTGGTTCAAAAATGATTCATATTTTCGTGTAACATTTTTCTTTTAAAATATTTTACGGATTTTAAATATTAAAAAATAGAAATGTAAAAGACATTTTATCTTTTTATAAGATTAAATTATTTATTTTAAGTCAATTACATTTCATATGAAACTTTGATTAAAGGAAAAAAAAAATAAAAAAAAAAGTGTTTTCAGACAAATAAATAAATGTGGCTAATATCAAATTTTGGGAGGTCTAGAATAATGCTCTGAACCCCCAAGTCTAGGTGTAATTAAAGCACGTTTCTAAATTTAATCTACCGTCACGTGAATTATCATTAATCAAATTTTAACAATTGATTGAATTTGTCGAAACGATCCTACTTTGAACTATTACACAAGAAAAATTGAAAAATCCATTACATTTGCGATCATCCATCTTATATTTATTTTTGGTGAAAGGAAACGTTTATTGCTATCTAAACCATTTCTTTTAATCATTTTCGTTACTTGTAGGTGGAATACCTTCAGCATAAATCATTCTCACGGTTTTAGCAAAAAAAAAAAATAAGATTTTATGACATTAATTTTGAATTTGTAGATAGATCATTTGGTATCTTATATTTTCTTTTCGAAATTTTAAAATATTAAGTCAATTTTTCGTTGCTTTTTCTGTATTTTAAACACAGGACTTACGGTATTTTGATAAAATGAAATTTTTTTAATTGTTTATAGTAGGTGTGAATTATTTAAAAGCTTAGGGCAATATTAAATTTTGTATTATTATTTGATGATATTTTGAATTTCTTAAAGAAAATTTGTAAAAACAAGTACTTACAAATCTAGTTAAACGTATTTTTTTTATATCATGGGTATATAGTTATTTTATAAATTTAAGAATTTGACATTCTTATGTTAAAAAAAAAAAACTCGCATCGGGTTCTTGTATGATCAAGCGACAAATCAAATTTATCAAAGAAATCTTTCTAATTTAATTTGTATGCATGAATAAAAATAAGAAAAATAAATAAATAAAAACCTCATTTTGCTAAATCTTTTTCTCACAACAAAATATGCGTGACAATGTCAAGTAAGTGTTGTTTATAATTATTAATATCAATATAAAATAATGTAATATTTAATGTTGTTTAATCATCGTCAACTGAAGAGCAGAAAACGGTGATGATTCTGAATGTTTTGAGGATGAATTATGTCCAGATTGTAATGAACCGCAATTTGGATAGAAGGTTCTATTTATGGATGGTCGAATTTTGAAAGAGAATGGGTTAGGTATTGCGATCAAATGGTAATCTTAAACTTCTCAATAATTTATCAAATTTAAATGAGGACTGAAATTAATAACTTTTTATTCATTATGAAAATTTATACTGATTTGTTTTATTCATTATAAAAAAAAAAAGGATCACTATGGAAATAACATATTATTCGGATTTACTCAAGATCCAAATACTTTAAATTATCTGTTAGTAATAGATTATAAAATGATATGCGCAAAATGTTATGAAGTATATACTGGCACAACATTAGATTGGTGTAAAGCATGTACAGCTAAACATTTTCAACAAGACTTTCCTGATTGGTCTAGCGGAAATGAATTTATTGATAAATTTATTCAAGAAACTTAGCTTAATTATGAACAAGTTTGGAATGGATTCCTTATACAAAACTTCAAAACATTGAATATTTTGATAAAGGAGGTTTAGTACTATATTTAAAGCCGTTTGGTTGAATAGATTTGCCGAGAGATGGTCTAGTAATCAAAGAAAATGGATTAAATGTAAAGAAATTATTGATGCAGCTCTTAAAAGTTAAGTCTTAATAAATCGTCAAATTTGAGTGAAGAATTTTTGTATGAGGTATGACTTTATTTATTAATTAATACATAATATCTCTCACATGTTAATGTTTATTTGTTCACAGTGGAAATACCATTATAAATGTGGTAGTAGTCTCATTAAGTTATATGGGTTTACTCAAGATCCAAATACCCTTGATTATATGATAGTAATGAACTATGCAAATAAGGACAGTTTAAGGAAAAATCTTCTAAATATTGTCAAAGATGATTGGGATTCTAAAATCCCTTTATTGTACCGTATTATTAATGGACTAGGTTAAACATGGGTATCGAAACCGAAACCTCCCGAAGCTCTTTAGGTTTTGGTATATAACGAAACCTAATTTTGGAAATGCATTTATTTTTCCGAAACCCAAAACCCGAAACCC